GAGAAGACAAGGAGAGAGTAGGCTGTGAAACACAGGGGGTGGGAAGAAGAATGGAAAGAAGAAAAAAACCCCAACCACATTTCAAAGCATTTTGCCTGGGGGGGGGAAAGAAGGGAGGGTCCCCGAGGACTCCAGTTCAGCCTGAAATCTGGTGCAAAGCCTAAGACAAAAGGAAAACCCTTTAAACAGAGCTAGCCCAAGAAGACTTTCTGCCCAAGCCTGTTTAGAGAAGGTCATGTTTATTAAAGCATAAGCAAAAAAACCACCAAACCAACCCACGTTTGGCAGCCCTGCCTGGCCGTGCAGTGAGTGCGGCTCCTGCGCAGAGGTGCCAGCCCTGAGCCAAGTCCCGGTGCCACAGCCTACGGCCTCAGCTTGGCCATGGTGGAGCGGAGCTGGAGTGTCCCTTCCGCCCACGAGCCTGGGTACTGGCACATCTTCTGCCACAGGTTCAGCTCCTCGCCCATGGAGTCCATCCAGTCCACAGCCTGCCCGTTGCTCATGCCTGGGAGAAAGGATAGACGTGGGCAGAAGTCACTGCTGGAGCAGCCTCCTGGCCGCAGCAAGGCAGCCTCAAGCAAGGCTGCTTCTCCCCAGAGTTTGATGGGACCCCAAAGCTTGATGGGACCCCCAAGGCTCCTCACCATTTCCCACCCCCAGACGGACACCCCCAAGGAAGTCGTTGCTGGACAGTGGCTCCCGGTCCCAGACTGTCAGCTCCAGGCAGATGTGCTGCAGGTCCTCAGGGTTGACGCCGTTGTAGACAAAGGTGTGGTTGTAATGAGGGTTCAGCGTCTTCTTCACCACGGGTGTCTTCCTTTTGGAGGCTTTGTTTTTGTGTGGCAGGAGGTAGCTGGGGGAAGCGGCCCCTTGGGTCAGCAGCACATGTGCAACTGCCTTCTGTCCAAGGGGCTGGGGCACCTCAGCACCCCAGGACCTGGCCTGGGGCCCACCTTCCTTGATATAGCTCAGGAAGAAGGACCACGGCAGTCTGCAGGCGGCTGGGTCTCTGCCCTGCCTCCCGAAAAGCGCTCAGCAGACTGCAAGTGGTCTAAGGAGGGGAGAGGGCAAGGACCGGAGCCTGCTCGTCCCCAGCCATGCTGCCCAGTGGCTTGGTGACCTCTGGGAAGATATCTGATGGCAACTGGAGCCCTGCCCTGCACACAGCCTCCCACCACGACCTCTCAACCAGCCAAAACCCAGGAGAGCGTTTGCTACCAGGAGCACCTCGTCTCTGGGCAGACTGTGACTTTCAGGGTACCGATGCCAGCAGTGCAGGGCGGCTACCGGAGGGACCCTTCCCTCCCCCAGGTCCCCACAGCAGCTCTGGGAAGTGCCCTGGGATGCAGCGAGGGAGGACAGTGCCTTCATTGTCCCCCCCACTCCCCCCCAAGGACCCACACTCACCCCTTGACAAAGCTGTCTGATGTCCCCCCAGATTTGGCAGCCGTGAGGTTCTTGGCTTCTTTGATCCAGACTTGGAGCTCACCACCTTCTCCCATTTTGCCTGGGAAAAACCCAATACAGCAGGAA